TGGTACAGACTAAAGCTATCTTTTTGAAGTTAGATTAAAGTTACACAAAAAAGGTTACACTGGGGACTTGAAGAAGAATTTTGTTATGTGACTTCAAGAGCTAATTGACTCAGATAGTTTCACACTTTACAAAACGGCAACCAGTGACAGATGAGGTAATGCTGCTTTAAATTATGAGTTAAATCTCAAAACCATTAAGAGTTTGCTGTTCACAAAATTTCAAATTTAGTAAATTGCATGTTCATGTTCCTTAAATGTGATATATTTTAGATCCCTATTCTTAATGCGCATGTATTAATAGCCTTATTTATTTTGCTTCATCTGTATTTATTTGGATAGAATTTCTTCAAATTTTATGCCTTGCTACAGTGGGATATAATTGTAAAAGCTGCTACATTTGTTTTTGTGTTGAAGTCTGTGCCTGATTTTATAGTGTTCCTGTCTCCTAAAGATTGTTTTGCTTGTTCATGCTCAAATCTGCATTTTGCAAATAAATGACTTAGTATGAAGGAATTTCTGGCTGATAATTGTGTTTTAAGGTTGACTGCTTATTTTAATCATGTTTCTAGGGTGATGGCTTTGTGCTTTATTTAAAACAAGCTTTGGAAAGTTAATTTCACAAACGTATTCAAGCCTTTTGAAGATAGAGGTGTGGATTATATTCCATTGGCTAATAATTTAGAAAAATGGTGGAAGTAAACACATTGGCAAAGGTAGAAAGCCTTGGGCCCAGAAGAAAATTTTGGATTTTTGGGGCAGTGATTTTATTTTATTTTTTAAAAAAATGTATGCTGGTGATACTGGGCCAGCCTTTTAATGTTAGGGTATCTAACATTTTCTTTTGTTATAACAGTAAAGGATAGTCTTTAGTTTGAGGCCAAGAGATTAGTTTCTCTTGAAGACTATCCTGGAGACATGGTATTTCTGGCTCAAGGCTGCCTCTCTGCTTAAGTCAGTGCATACTTTCAGCATTATTATTTTTGTAAATCTTAGTATATATATTAATGTAATTGTATAATGCAGCTGCTCTGTTTTGTCATTAGAGCCTTGCTTATGCACTTTAGACATTTGTACACAAATTATATTTAATTCCTTATATTTATTCCTTATATTTAATTCCCTACCTCTGGTGTTTTGTAGAATAAATTAGGGACAGAAAAGGAGAGATGAGGATACATATGAGATTTTTCTGTTTGTTTCATAATAGAAATGAATTAGAAGGGGTGACAAGTGATTTTCTTTCAGTTAAGGAATTACTTTTGTGAGTAAGGCTTTTAATTTTTAATAAAAGTGAAAAGATAAAGGACATATGGTGAAAGATATAGGACATATGGTGTTTTTGTAGAAAAGCATCTTATTTCCTAATTTTCAGCATCTAAAAAACTTTTCCTAATTCTGCCTAATCCCTGAAGGAGAACTTCTAGAATGTCACAAAACAGTACCTGCTTTGTAGTAAACAGTCAACAAATGTGTTGATTGAATAAATAAGGGACTAGTCAAAAAGGAAAGAGTATGGTTTGCTGAATATTTACAGTGATTATTTTGGCAAAAAATTTTATATTCTTTATATATCATTTACAGAGTTTGTGTAGATAATATCTAAGGTGTGTTATGATCTTTATGTCCTAAAAAATATGATGAATATATGTTTAATATTTCATTTGGCCAAGTAAGAAACTGGTAAACTATCTTGCTAGGCTTTTTGATAATTTCTTTCTACCTTTACTACTGATTAAGTGATATTAGTCTCTTTTTTTCCCCTGTGATTTTAGCTGTACCTGAAATCAGTTCACATCGATCTTTAATCAGAATCAAAGCTGTTTTATTATGTTGTCCCATGTATATTTCTCTTCGATTGTATATATCACAACGAAGAAAAATCTTCCCAGTTCATCCCTGCCTGAATTCCCCAGGAATATTTTAAGCATGTCAGCTATCCTCTGACCAAGGATTTGATCCTGTTGGCCCCCTAGCCTGAATTGAGAATGTCTGAAAAGCCTAAGCTTCAGTGATAACATTTAGTTTCCAGAGTTAGAACCATTACTTTTTTTATGTTTTGCCTGTCTTGCCTTCAGAAGAATTTGTGTAACTAGGAAATAGTGACGATAAATATTAAATGCTCTTATCAGTAAAAGTCAGGTGAAGTTTGATGAAGATGGTAGAGGGGTCACTGTGATGTATTTTGGGATTGTGGAATATTTAAAAGAAAGGTTTGGGTAGATGTCATTTATCCTGTAGCTCCTTATAACCTTAAGCTTCTGCCACTCCCATCTCCCACCCACTGATTATTAATCTAAGACAAAGTAAATAGTGACTTTGCAGAGATCTGGTTTGCTTAAGGAAAGAAAATGTAAATATTTTATATAGCATCTTTCAGGAACTAAGAGTTTTAATAGAGCTAATCTAGTGTGTATATATAGGACACTGTGAGATGGTCATAACTTTCATATTTTCCAGAAGACACCAATTCTGAACTCAAAGGCCTACTGATTTTAAGTCTTCGATTAAAATATTTTAATATTTGAAATACTTGAAAATTTTTCTGCATTTAAGCTTGGTGATTACATTCTCAGATGAGAGGAAAATTTGAAACAGTAATGATTTTGGTAAAGAGTCATTACCTAGGTCAGTAGTTACCAAACTCTTGAATATTCCTTCAGTTAAAATATGGGATATTGGGCCTCCCCAGTGGCACAGCGGTTGAGTGCTGGGTTTCCAAGTGGCCCGCAGCCTCTGCAGCGCCGGCTCGATCCCCTGCTGCTCCTGGCCACCGGGGCAGGGTCCCACATGGCACAGACCTCTCCTGCCGCCCGCAGACCTCTCCTGCCGCGCGCTGCTCCCCTCAGCAGTGTACCTCAGTCCTTCTGCCTGCTCTGCTCCCCGCTCTGGCTCTGGTGAATTCTCTTACCCTCCCGCGCTTCTGACTGTACCCAGTGCTTGTATAAATAAATAAATAAATCTTTAAAAAAATGGGATATTTATCCCTATACTACACTCCTTGTAAAGTAGAAAACTATACAAATTAGACATTTTAAAATGATGAAATAAATATCAGTAGAGCTACTATTTTCTTTTATCCCAGTGGAGTCTTTTGCATCCCTGGGTCTCTTCTCTTTGGAGACATTACTCTAGATCATTAATGAAGCGGCCCAGACTAGGGCATCTTTAAGTTTCCTATGTGATTTGTAGCATTGTCATTTTTCAGTTACTTGTGAAACAAAGGCAAAGAAAAGGTTTGGTAATTAAAGGATAAACCATCCAGTTGTAAATTTGGCTACCAAGCCAGAGATAAGATGAAAGGATATGCTTATTTTCAGAGTGATTAAAACTTACCCCCCCATGTTGATGATCTACCATACAAACATATAATAATATGTTTACTTTTCCCTCCATCTCATAGTAATCTTTCTGAAGTTTGAATTTGATAATTTCATTTCTCAAAATTCAATCATTTGTTCTTGTGTGCAGGACTAAGTCCTAACTCCATTATGTGACATCGAAAGTCTTCATGCTTTTGATCCCTGCTAACCTTTTTAGTTTCATGGCTTTTATTGCCCCTTCTCCATACCCCCACTCCTCTGGAAGACCTCCTTTTGTAAAACAAAAGAAAAGTAGAATCAAAACTACTCAGTTCCAGCGGTTGAGCGCTGGGTTGCGAAGCTAACCAGAGGAGGGTTGGCGCGCAGACCTCTCAGCAGTGTACTTCGTTTCAGCTCTGGTGAATTCTCTCACCCTCCCGCGCTTCTGACTGTTGCATGTGCATGTCTTACCTGTTCCAACTATAATTATTCAGTAGTTCACTGTAAGCCTTCTCTTTGCTTGATTATGTTGCTTGGATTGCCTTTCTTGTTTTGTCCTACTAGAAAATTCCTACTGACTAAGATTCAGACATTTCTTCTGGTCTCTGAACAACTGGTACTGTCTCCTCCATGTTATTTTTTTTTTTTTAAAGATTTATTTATTTATGCATACAAGAACTGGGGCACAGGCCAGAGAGATGCAGGGGGTGAGAGGATCCACCAGAGACAGTGGGGGACAAAATAGGTAGATTGACCGAAATACGCTGCTAAGGGGAGCAGCGGGTGAGTCAGGAGAGGTCTGCTGTGCCATGTGGATTGCTCGCTGGCTGCGGATCAAACTCATGCTGCAGAGGCTGTGGACTGCTTCATAGTGCAGTGCTTAACCCCCTTTGCCACCAGTGAGGCCCCCATGTCTCCTCCATGTTATTTTATAACATCTATTGAATTGGTATTATTATTTGCCTGTAAGTTGCTTTTCTAGTAGGCTGAGTTCCTTAAGAATAGAAATTGGTAGTTAAAAATATGGGGGCAGATATTCATTTGTTTACTGCCATATCACAGTAACGGGCATATAGTAATAGTTAATCAGTAAGTACTTGTGTACTGAATATATTTATGTCTTTAGTATCTGGCATATGGCAGTCTTTCAGTATACCATTGTTCATTAAATAACAAATGAATTATAAAATCTCAGAAATGAGCTTATTTTATGAGGTCAAGGTTTGAAAAGGAGAACTGGCTTTCTGAAATTTTGAGTCCATGGAATGGTTAATACCAAGATACAATAAGAAAATCCACATATTTTTGATAATGTGATTTCTGATTTCACTTATGGCCCAAGAACGAATGGAATGATTTTCCTTTTGAGTCCTAATATTGGTATTTAAATGAGAAACTCTAGAAAGATAGCCAAATAACTCCACTACATTTAAGAATTTTCTTTTGGGCCTCCCCTGGTGGTGCAGGTGGTTGAGCGCTGCGCTGCGAAGCTGTCCGCAGCCCCTGCAGTGCTGGTTTGATCCCGGCCTGCGAGGGTACCACATGGCACTGCAGACCTCTCCTATCTCGCCCGCTGCTCCCCTCAGCAGTGTATTTCGTCAGTCTGCCTGTTCTGTTCCCCACTCTGTCTCTGGTGAATCCTCTCACCCTCCCGTACATCTTTAGTATTAATTGAAATGTCACTTTTTTTGTTTTCTTTAGGGTGTTTGTGAACCGAAGTTTAGCCATGGAAAAAATTAAGTGTTTTGGTTTTGATATGGATTATACACTTGCTGGTGAGTAGCACTTTGATTGCTTAATAACTATTGTTTCAGGTATAATGACAGGGGTTCAAGTAGGCAATTCACTTTACACTTAATTGATTTAATCATATATGTGTTTGTCTGAACCTCTTTTTATCAAGCAACTTCCATTGATGTTTGTAAATTGAAATTGCCAGATCTCTTTGAAATTTAGTTTGCACAGATAGAGCAAGTGCTAAATTATTATAAAGACCTTGGTTAAGAAATGATAAGGGGGAAATTTTACATTAATGTGAACATTTGGGTACCTTTTGCTTTTATTCTCTTGAGCTGATCTTCAAAGATGAAATTTTGTATCTCTCACTCTACCACAAGATAAACCTTTATTAAACTTTTTAATGCTATTCTTAAGCAAAATGGAAAATGATTACACATATACTATGTAAAGATTTTCTAAAAACTGGACCTGTTAGCTTTGTTTATTATCAAATTGACCTTAAACACTGGCACTGTGCTGTTTTTCCCGTCCTTTCTCTGAACTATCTTTGAAATAATGTATTAGTCAATAGTTATTATATCTTTTCAGAACTTATGAAACTTTTATTAAAATACTTCTAGTCTGGTGAATATGTTGTTTCAGAAGTAATAGAGATGAGGGACTGAGTTGAGCACATGTGCTTTTATGTTTTGTACATGAAGGTGTATACAGCCATGGCTCTCAGAAAAACATCAGGAATTTTCTCTAAAAAATACTGTCTTTATGACCATAAAAACTTAAAATTTATAAATTGAACTTATGCAACAAACTTAAATGAATAGTACAAATGTACAAAAATAAACACATGCAGTTTATAGGTATGTGCCACATAGTTATGGCCATGCTATTTGTTAAAGAAGTTATTCTAATAATAGACACTGACTTGATTGGAATTTCTCTTTCCTCCATATACTAATTACTTGGTTTTCTATTTCCTTAAAGTTGTTTTTGCATCATTTCAGTTCTTTCACCTTTTCCTAACTGGGCACAGACACTTTAGGAGTGGGCAGAAGCACTCTACTTTCTTAGTGAAGATCTTGCTTGCAGTCCAGATTGGGAGAAAAGTTGATAATCTTTCTCCTTTCTAGAATTCTAGCTATCTAGGGAAGGAATGGCGAGGCTTCAAAGCAGAAATAGAAGTTAATGGGTTCAAAATGTAACAAACTTTTCCCCTTGGTTATTAAGGCAACCTCATTATATTAAAATAGTTCAGTTATAAGTTCAGTGAAAACCTGTAATGTGCCGGGCACATTTTGTTACTGAGCACTGAGATAATATTCCCACAGAATAATGACAAATATGAATTCTCTTGGTTAGTGGAAAAATCACTAAGCCTTAATCTTTAAACTTTAAAGATTACCTCATGGTTGCTTTTATTTTTGTAATCCTGTTTCATATTTTAATGCTTACTCTTAGTCAAAACTAATATATATACTTGTCTTACTTACAGTAATTGGTAATATTTATTGATTATTATGTGCCAGGCCAATTTAAGTGCTTTACATAGATTATCTTATTTAATAAATCAATTATTTATTTTATAACACTTATTTAATGTTCATAAAAACCTATGAAGGCATGTACTACTAATATTGTATCTATTTAACAGATGATGCTAATATATTAAGGACATTTGTCCAAAGACATTTATTTAGCTATGATATAACTAAGATTCATACCTAAGTGTAAATGTGTATGTATATATAATATAGATTTATCATTTGAATATTAATTTATAGAGAGATAATTTGAAAGAAACACACTCCCTCTCCTTTAAACAAACTGGGATTTAAGCACTCAAAAGTTCCTTAGAGTAGTTCCCTTGTCCCTAAATCATATAGGTGTTACAAATCAATACTACCTCAATAAAGAATGAATGAACAAATGAATGAATGAGTTAAATGAAATAAAATAAATTCTTTGTTCTTTCTGAAGCCTTCTCTGAGACATTGTCTTCTCTATGCAATCCTGACACCATGGCATATCATTCCCTCAGAGCTAATATTTGTGTTGTAGCTTTTTGTTTAACTTATCTGTTTCTCTATTGGCCTCTGAGTTTCTCAAGGCCAAGGGGCTTTCTTCTTCACATTTATGTCCTGTGTATTGCCAAAAGCCTGGCATGCATGCATATATATGTGTGTGTGTTGTATACACACAGTTTTAAGAAAGATAGTACTTGACCCAATATAAAATACACTTAATTATTCAGCTGAAATGACTTTAAAAAAATGAACTTAATATAAAATTTTTAGTAAGGTTTATTGAGGAATAAGTTACATAAATAAAACACATGCATTTTAAGTATATAGAGCTTGACAAAATGTATATACCTATGTAACTATCACCACAGTCGAGATACAGAATATTTTCGTCCATCCCAAAAGTTCCCTCATTGCTTCTCTGAAGTCAGTTCTCTTTCCTATCCCACCCTTTGTCCAAGGCCGTTTTGTCACAATAGATTAATTTTGCCTTTTCAGAATTTCATATAAATGGATTCGTGCAGTATGTACTCTTGTGTCTGGCTTCTTTTGCTCAGCATAATGTTTTTGTGATTCATTCATGTTGTTGCATCTGTCAGTAAGTACAGCAGTCTCTCCTTATTCTTGGGGGAATATGTTGGCAAGATTCCCAGTGGATGCTTGAAAGTGTGAATAGTACCAAACCCTATATTGTATTGATTTTCTTTTCACATACATACCTATGATAAGTTTAATTTATAAATTAGGTACAGTAAGGATTAACAATAATGACTAATATAACAGTTATAGCAATAGGCTATAATAAAGATTATGTCAGTGTATCTCTTTTCTCTCAAAATATCTTATTGTAGATAATATTTTCAGACTGCTGTTGACAATGGGTAACTGAAACCAAAGCAAAACCAAGGATAAGAGAAAATTATTGTTTTTTTTTTTTTTAACCTCAACATTTAACTTTTTATCTTGAAATAATTTGAGGCCTACAGAAGAGCTACAAAAAGAATAGTTTGTGTTTACTCCCTCCTAATATATTATCTTATTTGATCACAGGTGACCAAAGACATTAACAATCCAGAACTATTAATTGAACTACAATCTTGATTCAGTTTTTATGAGGTTGCCCACTAAACTTTTACTTCAATATAGGGTACAATCTAGAATTCCATATTACATTTAGTTGTCATATTTCCTTAGTCTTTTCTATTGATAGTTCCTAAATATTTGAGAGGTATACCACAGAAGTGATTTACCCTTCCTCAGCCTACCAGGGGTATATAATGTTAACAGCTCTTATTATTAGTGATGTTAGCAGGTCAGCATTATGAAATTATCCTACTTAAACTTTCCCTTTTTTGGAGAGAGGCAGCAAGAAGTATTTTGTTGTATCCATTTATTTGTTTATGGACATTTGGGTTGTTTACAGTTACAAGTGAAACTGCTGTGAACATTGGTGTTCAAGTCTTTTTGAGGATGTGTATTTTTATTTCTCCCTCAGTGGGATTGCTAGGTGACGTGCTTACGTTACAGGAAACAGACAAATGGAAGTAGTGATAGCATTTTAAATTTCTGCTAGAAAGCATGAGTTTTCTGATTCTCTACTCATCAACTATACTTGATACTGTCCTTTGAATTTTGGCTGTTCTGGTGAATGTATAGTATTATCTCCATTGTGCTTATTGGCTATATGTATTTTAAGTGTGTGTGAAGTGCCTATTCAAATACCCATTTTTTAAGTTGGGTTGTTTATCTTTTTGTAGTTGAGTTGTAGAAGTTCTATGTATATATTCTGAATACTGGTCCTGTGTTGATACACGTCTTGTGAATAATATTTGTTAGTCTTTCAACAGTCTGTTCTATTGATCTAAGCAAATATCAGTAATTTTGATTATTGTAGGTTACTCTTGAAGTCAGATAGTGCATTCCTCTAACCTTCTTTTTTACAATTGTTCTGATTATTCTAGGTCCTTTATATTTTTACATAAATTTTAGGATCGGGTTATCAGTTTTTCAAAAAAGGGATTTTAATTTAGGATTTTGTTCTCTTAAGTCAGTGGAGAGTCACTATCTTAACAGTATTGTGTCTTCAGTCCATGAAAACAATACATACATTGTTCCAGTTATCCAGTCTTCTTTGGTATCTTTAGTAAACAGTGGTTGTGTGATTTTTGGTGTAAAAATTCTTATATATATATTTTGGTGCATCTGTCTGTTAACTAGTTCATATTTTTTATGCAGTTGTAAATGTTTTAATTTTTATCTTCTGTTATGTAGATAAAGAACTCATTTTTGTATATATATATTTTTATTTATATATTTTTGTACAGTGTTTGATTTCTCCTCTCAGGTGTTGTCCCTGTAGAATTACCAGCACCACCCCTGAACTTGTTACTATAGACTCTTTTTTTTTTAAGATTTATTTATTTATGCATATAAGAGCTGGGGCCAGAGGTGGGTGGTGGGTCATGGGGGTGTGTGTGAGAGGATTCACCAGAGACAGAGTGGGGAACAGAACAGGCAGATTGACTGAAATACACTGCTGAGGGGAGCAGCTGGTGAGTCAGGAGAGGTCTGCTGTGACATGTGACTTGCTCCCTGGCTGGCTGGGGAATCCAGCGGATCCAGGGGATGGAGCTTGTGCTGCAGAGGCTGCAGACAGTTTCATAGGTTTCGGCTTAGAGGTTGTGGCTTAACCCCTTGCACCACCAGGGTGGCCCTAACATAAACTCTTGGGCTCTTCCCTCTGGTTTTTGATCCCTCTCCCTCCCCTTCACCTGAATGTCTCCAATTTATAATTTGCCTACTAGTTTTTTCTTTTTTTTTTCTTTTTGGTCTTTTTTCACCCTGATACTTTGTATGATTTCCCTATGTTTATCCTCTAAGTAAAACCATCGGATATTTTTCTTTTTCCTTTTGTCTTATTTCACTGAGTATAATCCTTTCTAGCTCCATCCATGTTGCTGCAAATGGCATACATCTTTTTGTATATTGATTGTTGCATAGTGCAAATAAATTTGCTT